ACACAAGTTCGCGAGCCCCACCGTGGGTGTGGAGTGCTTCGTAAACGGAAGGGCGCTGTGCAAGTCTGGGGAATCGTTTCGTGAACCACCTTGTAACGTGAAGTGTTTCTTGACGTTAGTCAAAAGGATCCACATAAAGTGGGCTCGGTGTTTGCAGAAGTCATAGAGACGTTTATTTTGCTGTTACCAACATGGCTGGTGATTCACGTCCGTGGAAGACACACATAACTGTGACTTAGAAAAATGGTTTCATGTCAGTCCTCTGGCTGATGGGGAGGCCGAGAGCCACACTGTCTGCCCTCAGCTTCGTGCTACAGTCTCTGGAACGTTTGTCTCGACAGCTCTAACTCTCAGAACCAGACCACAGCAGGAGGCGGGAGCTACCGAACCTAGCAACACACCAGCACCATGGAGACCAGTAAACCGAGCTTGGGTGTGGCCCCCAACTGCTTAAATGTTCCGGCACTTGCTGGTTAGCTATGATTCTGATGTTGCTGGAACAAAATTAGACCATCCTGTTTACCTTTGGTTTAGAAATTAAGCTCCTGCTACATCGTATTGCACACGGAAAACTGCTTTTCAGAGTCCAGACGTTTAATTTTCATTGAACAGGCACAGAGGATCACAAGCGTGGTGCCTTTTAAGGATGCCCGGGACAGTCAGAGCACCCCCAAAACCTAAGGTGGCCATCGGTACAGAGCTCCTGGGCCCACATCCACTGTGACTGTTTGCAGGTCCTTAGCTGCCCGGCAGCCTGGAGCGGGCCAGAAGTTCAGAGTCATCCTGACCGAAAAGGGAAAACCTGAGGCTGTGCCCTTGACCTCACAGCTCTTTACGTAAAGACCCCGGCCACGCTGACACAGTCCAGACGGATGGCCGCCCTCTTCCCGAGCCCCCCGACGTGGCTCAGACCCTGCAGAGGCGCCCTGGGTTCCTGCTGCTAAGCGTCCTGCGGCTGCTTGTCCGGTTTCCTCACTGGATACTCCTAGGCGGTTTGAGTTTTGCCTTCTTCGGGGTGAAGGGTTTATGCCGACGCCGCCCGGCTGCCTGTAGACCTGTGAGTACCGGAATGGGCATTGCGTGCTTCCGCGTCTCCTCTCCCACGAACTGCCAGTCTTCACAGCCACAGCTTCTCCTGTGGTTTCTTAGTGGACTTTCCACCTGTCACTCAATCACCCCCCTCATATGTGGCCGTGCTATCCATTGGAAGGAAAAAAAAAAAAGCCTGCCTTGGAAGGGGCCTTCAATGAGGGCCCTTTCCATTAGAGAGCCACTTACATCAAAATTGGCAGACAGCAACTAGATCCTCTACACTTTATTCCAGGGGCCCAGGGTCTAAGTGATAACACCAAAAAACGTGAGTTCAGCACCCGTGTAGGGTATAGACTGACATTCGTTCTGCGGCTGGAAATGATTCGAGACTCGGTCTGCGTGGCCAGCGGGCCAGCAGGGCAGCTCGGCGGACAGTGCCTTCCGTCCTCCACACTCCGGGGACACTGCCATCACTGGTGCTTTTCAGGGAAGACTTGAGACACCAGGGTGAAGTGACTTGCCCGTGATCTCGTAGTCCGTGGCCGAGCCAGGGATCGGACTAAGTGGTTTCATTCCAGAGCTGAGACACTCAACCCCTTCCCTGTGACTTTTTCATGAAGCTGAGACCTAGCGATTAGATGGTCACCTGAAGGGTGGGGAGGGTGCAGGCAAATTCAGGGGGTACCTCAGAGGCAGGCGGATCAGTGAGGCCTGTTCCCTGGCCCCTGCTCTGGGAGACGTGGTCATCAGGCTTGGGGTGGCAAGTAGCTCTAGAATTTGCCTATCTAGATGGGAGTATTCAAATGGAAGTCTCCACGAAGGCTGTTCTGTTAGTTGGCTATCACTCTCATCTGCGACATTATTACAGCTCGAACTATCATATCGATGGCTTTTCACGATGAATTCCCCAAGTCCCACACTTGTGTATGTAGGACAAATTAAAATTATTTTCTCCAGTTCATTTCTAAAAATCAAGAATTGTAACTGACCATTAGCATTTCCAAGTGTCATAGCAAACAAACAAGGTGTCAAGGTTAGACATTTCGATCTCTTCGAAAGTAATTTTTGTGCACCTAGGGGCGCTGCCCCATCAAAGCTTGGCGCCGCGGTCGCCGTAAGCAAAGTTGACACCTGCTATATTGCTCCCACAGGGGCCACTCAAGGCCTTTACTCAGCTTCTCTTTTCTGGGGCCCTCATCCTCTCCCGGGTCAGGTCCTGCTGTCCCTCAGAACCTCCTCTGCGTGGACGTCCAACCTTCCTTCCCGAACCCCCTCCCCGAAGCCGCATGCGCAGGGGCGCCGGGTCCGCAGTGGGAGCCGAGAGCGCACGGGTCACGCGCTGCCGTGTCACCGAGAATTAGGTCAGAGGGCAGAGAGTGGGAAGTTAGATGGCTGTAACATTTAAATGTGAATTTGTAGTCTCTCGAGACTCCGCCTTTGCAGACGACAGGCCCAGCCATTCTGTGGGAGGTTCCCGTTTGGAGGCGGGGAGCTAGATTTTCTGAGATGGGTCTTCGAAAACGTGTCCCCAGGGCACGGGCGCAGGGGGTTGCGGCGCCGCAGGCACCAGGCTTGGCTAGCACGGGCTGACATTTTTATAAAAAGCCGCGTCGCTGCTTCCTTCCTGTGGCTCGGCCCCAGCCTGGGGAGCTCAGGAAACGTGTCACCGCCTTGGCTGAAGGACTTTAAACAACGAGCGGCGCGTGCTGGGCGGCGGGGTCCCTGTCCTTCGCGCTCTCCCGTACGGCCCCGGCTCTGAGACACCGGATCGGCGACGAGCCGCCGGCACCCCTGTTCTTTGCTGAGCCCCGCTCGCAGATGGGGAGGCAGGAGCGGGGTGCTCCAGGCCTCACCCCCCGGGCAGCGCGGTTTTGTTGTCCGGAAGCCGGCCCCTCCCGTGCTGGCGCGTTAACGGGGTCCCCCCGGCAGGTGCTGCCGGGCCCGGCTGAGGTTGCCAAGTCCGCAGCAGCTCAGTTTGGCCTGAGTTCGAGGACTTGGGGGTCGCAGCCCGCAGCAGC